TTTTTATGTTTAAAGAACTTTCAGAAGTTTGGATTCTGAAGATGAACTTTTCCTTTAACAGCAACACGCACTGATCCCATACTCCAACATCAGCTACTGACCAATCAGCTGCTTCATATAGTGGATGAATGAAGCTGATCAGTGCTCTGAGCCAGTCCTGTTTCTTCCTGTTCAGAGGGAGTTTTTCCTCTCCACTGTTGCTACAAGCATGCTTAGTGTGAGGGATTGCTGAAGAGTCAATGAGTCGATGCAATCAGCTGGTTGGCCTTAGATAGAAAAGTTTGAATCAATCTGACTGGATGATCTGGTTGAATCGTCTCTATAAAGTGACCTCAGATCACATGATGTGAATTGGCGCTATAGAAATAAACTGAATAGAATTATATTGAAATGAACTCAGTCTGTCTGACTGAACCACACTAGCAGCAGGTCATGAATGAATGAAAAGCGCTGGCTGGGTCATATAGACCTTAAACCCTCTGAGACCCCAGCAGACACCAAATGTGTCTCATTTCTGTCATTAGGAGAAGCTGCTGTTCTAACAGTCGCATCTCTAGGCTTTGCTGCCAACGGCTGCATGTTGGATCCTTTTAAAAGCAACAGTAGCTGAAACGTTAGCCTCTGGTTGATCTTTTTAAAGAGTTTAAGCCTGTCATTAAAAATGTCTGGCTTTAAGCAGAAACAGAAGAAAATTCGATAAAATAAAAAAGAGAAAAGGGTTAGTTAGGGTTAGAAGCTAAAAAAAACTCCCATCATGCTCCTTTTCCCCTGCCTGTTTACATTCTCAGGGTTACAGTATCATCCCGTAATCTGCTCTTCATCACATGTTGAGACAGGAGGCAGCCTGGCGGGTTATGTGCTGCACCATGATGGAGGTATGACCTGAGATGAGCAGCGTTGTTCCTAGATCTCCACTGGCCTTCAAAGACTTCAGAGCTTTACACGATATTCTAATACCTGCTGGAAAAATCCAGCATTTAAAAAGGAACAAATTTCAACAACAACAGCTGCTGAGTTTTTAAATCATCGTCTGAATTTCATCATATTTACTTAAAAAAAAAAAAAAAAAAAAAGTGTTTTATATGAATTAATGTTTTGGATTATCTGCTGCTACATACGGTTTGGCCAGAAACCCAAAGTTTGCATGATATTTGACCCCAGAAACAAGAGAAAGCAGAGTTTACATTGGAAAAACCTTCTCCAAACAAGTAACATTTTCTTAAATTTGAGAAGGTTATTGAGATAGTTTGCCAATAGAATGAGTATTTTTCCTCTTAAACGAAGATAATTAGATAATATGCACTTGAAATAAGACAATGCAATTGTGTTTTCTTATTTTAAGTGTAAATTGTCTTGATCCATAGGAAAGATGTCTCTTTTACCTCCTCAATCCAAGAACAAATGCGCTTATTTTATCAGCAGGGATCCGTCAGTGAGACCATGAACCTCGGTCTCCCTGCTCCAAAACAGAGCCTCACTCTCCTCACAGCACCTCAGAACCATCCAGTCAGAGTGCAGAGCGGCCGCAGCATCACTACCAGGTTTAAAGGAGGAGGGGCTTCAGACAGCAAACTGGATGCTTTCGCTTTACAGTGGAAAAAAAATGTAACTCTAGATAAGTCGTTTTTTCTTAAAAGTGCATTTGTTCTTGAATTCAGCAGATAAAAGATAAATTTTGCAAGCAGAGGATGTTCAGGCTGGCTGAGCATGGACTGCCTGTTGCTTTCAGGAGTCTCTGCAAACAGCAGCGAGTCTTTGCACATCAGACATTCATCTGAACCCAGAAAGAGTCCAAACGAAACAGACTGGAAAGAAGCAAACATCTCAACAGGGTGTGAAACTAACTGCTGACCGAGTCTGCGGCGCTTGGCGGGACCAGACCGAGGCTGACTGGGTCAGCGCTGAACGCCTTCCCTCCACAGAAACACCCAGAGAGATCCATGGAGGTGACAGGAAAACAGGAGGAGCTGGAAAGGTTGTTTCTACAATCTGAACACATTAGAGCCTGCATCATGGGTGGCTCTAGACAGGGGCCAAAGGGGGCCAGTGCCCCTGTAGATCATGTCCTGGCCCCTGCACTGAAGACAGAAACTAATGATTATCTGCGCTGCAACAGACACGGTTACTGATAGATCCTTTGGATCTATTTAATGTTTTTCTTTACAAATTCAGTTTTACTTATTATTTAAAAGCTGTAATGTGAAAGCTTCAGTGGGATTCAGATAGGATCCCAGTCTTTCATCTGCTAAAGGATTTTTTTCAAAACAAATAAAAAAATGCTCTAAGTTTTACAGCTGATTTTATCTATATGTCTTCAGTTCTAATTCAGATTTTATAGAAAACTTTCATTTTAACTTAACTTAAGTGAAAAATATGTAAAATTCTCAAATTCTGAATGTATATTGACCTAATAAAACATATAATTTTAATTAAACCTAATTGAATAGAAATTCCACTTCATGCAGCTAATAGCTTAATGCTCCTGGTTTTTTAGTTCAAAGGATTGCAAAGGACGTTGGCCCCCGCCTGGCCCCTGGTACATTTGGCCTAGAACCGCCACTGCTCTGATCTCTAGAATCCATCTGGGTTTTAGAAACTAATTCACTTCATTCATGGCATCAGAATAATAACGTCTCCAGAGATGGAATCAGGATCCCAGGTTTTAATGATCAGAGCTTAATTAATCCAGACTATGGATTATCACCCAGGGATTTAGATGTTGGAGCAAATCATTTTCATTTTGTTAGAAGAAAAAAAAGATCAATTAAAAAAGCTGCAACTTTTTGTAGAAACAGGAAGATTCTGATGCGATTTAAAGCCTGAAGTTTAGATTCAATTCTGACAAATGGACTAAGAATGCCTCCTCCTCCTCCTCCTCCTCCTCCTCCTCCTCCTCCTCCTCCTCCTCCTCAGCATCTTACCCATCTCCTGCCTGCTGTCAGGCTGGGGCTCAGCTGGTTGCTCCATGGCTTCCAAAGGAGGACTCAATCCAGCAACCGCTCCTCACAGCCGCCACGGAGAATGCTGCTGAACACGCAGCTTTCCATCTTCATGGGAACTGATAGAACAGCGACCAGGCTGATGCTGCTTCCCCTGCAGGCTGTCAGTCAGTCAGTCAGTCAGTCAGTCATTCAGTCAGTCAGTCATTCAGGCAGGCAGCTTATCTCCAGCAGGCGGTCAGAGGAGCGTTATCCGTCAGGATGCGAGCATCCCGGCCAACCCGCCTCCTCACCGCATCGGGGACCTCCTTCCACGCTCTCTCCGCGCTCAGCAAAATGTGCGCAAAAAGCGCTGAAACGTGTTGCATTCAATTCCCACAGGGAAAAGAGGAAAGCGGAGCTGCAACATTCAGTTGGTGTGAAGCTGTTCATCTTATTAATAATGAACAATATGGGGAGATGTTAGTAAAGTTAAACAGTAAAAAATTAGGAGAAATATGTATGATAATTTAACGCCTTTTAAGAGAAAAATAAGGGTCTTATTTCTTTCACCCTGTCATTCATTCATTGTTTAAAAAAAAGTTCTAATCTAAAATATTGAGATATCAGTTAAAATTTAAATTTGTGAGAAAACCAAATATTTATAATTTTAAAGAAATATTCATATATTTCTTTTATATATTACTTCTTATTATGTTAAATAAATATTTAGTTTGGAGGAAAATATTTATTTAAGAAACTAAATGTTTGGATTTTTATAAATGAATGAATCAATGAGTAAAAAGATGACTTGGAAAAAAATAAGCCCCTTATTTTTCTCTCAAAACAAACAGCTCCCCATAGAGTATTCCCAGATTAAGACAGCCGGATCCAGTGATCGGCCGCCGGATCCAGTGATCGGCCACCGGATCCAGTAATCGGCCACCGGATCCAGTGATCGGCCGCCGGATCGAGTAATCGGCCGCCGGATCGAGTAAGCGGCCGC